AGGACCACAGCAGAGACCTCAAGGCCCACCCCCTCAAGGAGGACCACAGCAGAGACCCCAAGGTCCACCCCAACAAGGAGGCTCTCAGCAAAAGCCCCCGCAGCCTGGAAACCCACAAGGCCCACCACAAGGTTCCCAATAGGGCAGACCTCAGAGATCTCAGTAAACCAGAATTCTCTGATAGGTATGACTCATATTTATTCTCTGGTGGGTGGAGGGAAAAAACCAACTCTATATTTCATATTGTAGAAAGTATCCAACTTAAATATGTAGGAATACCATTGTCCTGGACCCAGTATCAAATATTGTTTTAAATAGTAAATGATTTATTCATGAGAGAATATATGTTTTTGGAGACTTATCTTCTCCAATTTAGTATTTCACAATTATTTATGTCTTATATGCTTCAGGGAGGAAGACCTATTTACTTCTGAAGATCGTTTACCTTCTTGCTTGGATTCATGTATTCAAATGTGTATACAGATCTCATCCTGTTCTTGTTTTTGTTTCCTTTTAGCATGTTCATATTATTAATGCCTGAGATAGCATGTTTTCTCTGTACCCTGCATATATTAAAGTTGTGTTTTGTTTTTAATTTCAGAAATTGTGTAAGAAGACAGCTCCCTCACAAAATTCTTCTACTGCCAGAAAGTATCAGACCTGGAGCTTCCCTACATTAATAAAATGATCAGCATGTAACTTCTGACTGTTGTCTTTCTTTCGGGGTGTCCTCCATGCTGGAATTTCAGGGCTGACATTAATCTGAGATCATCCGAATTTTCTCATGGTTTCTTCCTGCAATTTCTTCCAGAAATTGTCCATAAACCAGGTACCTGAAATCAGGTCTAAATGTTTCACTCTTTTGTCTTGACTAGTATCAAACATAATTTTTTTTAAAGCATGTTCATATTTTTAGACAATAGGCTGAAAATTCTGGTAGACTATGAACACAGAACAAAATCTCAACCTTAGTATATGCTGAGTAAATTTTGAAAGTGTAAAACAGGTGTGGTGAACTGCCCAGCTTGATCTTGGAGAGCATGGTTTGCCTTTCTCCCCAATTCTTTGCAAAACAAAACAAAACAAACAAAACAAAAACAAACTGATATATTACATTCCTAATGCTAGCTCCATCCCTCAAAGTGTATTTCTTTATTTGGCCACTTTCTTTCTTGGAGGGTCACTACCAAGATCATGTTATCAATGTATTTGAGTCCAGCAATCAAAAGCCCACTTTGATTTACCTAATTAACATGCCAAATCAAAATACTCTACTGCAGCCTCGCGCATTCAAACACAGACCTCCACCGTTTTGTTCTTAAAAACTACAATGGAAGGTCATTTACTGCTGTGGTTCTTCCTGAATCATAATGCAGACACTTTAACATTTCTTCTCAGCTTAATAAAGTATCTTTCTGTAAAAACATATATTTGGCTGTTGTTTGTACCTAATTTGGGCTGTTGTGAGCACATGAGTAGCAATAACTCAAACAGCCAACAATTTATTATAGTCTATATAATTTATCTTTTAATAACTAACAGCTTATTCTATACTTTTATAAAGCTATCTATCTCTCATCAGTTAACTTTAGAGGGGAATTAGGATTTGTATCCCCCTTGAGAACAAACAGAGGTTTAAGTTCTCCTATGGTAAGCTTAAGATGAGGTTTTAGCCAATTAATATCTCTTAACAACTTTTGAGAATCATTAAAAGTAAACCATTTTTGTGTATGTATACCTGTAAGCCAGAAGAGGGCACTAGATCCCACTACAAATGGTTGTGAGCCACCATGTAGTTGCTGGGAATTGAATTCTAATATTTTTAGTTGTGAGCCTTGCCTTTAACGGCTGAGCTATCTCTACAGCCCCAATTATCCATTCTTATTGGAAATTTTCTGTGCCACAATCTGTTTGAGATATAACTGAGTTCTCAAATATTGAAAAGACACTGTCTTTGAATCTTTTCTGGAGTGACAAGCACTCTAAAATTTTAAAGCTCATTGTATTAGAGCAAAGGCTTACAGAAAAACTCTTTTAGAGAGATCAGCTAACAAAATATACAATGAATAATATACACTGAGAGATTTAAATGTTTAACTTTTGTATTAAAGCAACAACAAATTTTTAATGCCATTAATCATTCCCTGAGACAAACCTTTTTAATGATATCGCTTCATGGGCTCTCAAAAATCACAAGCATATTCACTGAATATAAACCTAACCACCTTTATCAGCATGTAAAGGAACAATAAAAACAATCTTTTAGATCTATAATAATTCTATATATATTTAATGGAATGGCAACCAAAGTAGGCAAGTCAGGCTGTAATGTCTCATTAGTTTCATAAATCTTAAATTTGAACTTTCTTTTAGATTAATTGAACAACCAACTCCTTTTAGCTGAATGAGTCTATCAGATAAAAGCCAAGCTGAAGGCAATCTTGCCTTCTAAATAATTGTTACACAGCCCCAGTATCTATTAATCTTTCAAATCCTTTTTCTTTCAGTTATTAACTTAAGATTAGGTCTCTTGCTACTGATAGATC